GTCCATACAGTTCAGCCTCCCAAGCCCAGAGATGGGTGAAGAGGGTGAAGAATTGAACTGAAGAGGCAAACAGCAGTTATCTAGATTTTTGGACTAGAAAAATAAAAAACATAATCATAAAATGCATAAAAATGCAAATCATACTGGAAGCCCCAAAAGACAAGTTTTTGAGTACTCCTAGAGGCTGTTTTTTGCCCTGGATGAATATTTGTGTTAAACTAAATATTTAAGAGGAAGTCACTAACTAGTAACAGGTGTTTCAAGGGCTTCCTTGGGGGTTCAGAACTCTGGACTTACTCCACTACTACCACAACAGCTTTGTTTTTATTTGGTTAAATCATAGGGATTCTGTTTAAGTAGTGCTACATCATCTATTTATGGCTATATATTGTGTGAGGGATTAGAAAATGAATCACAGACTAGCGGGGAAGACAGAAAAGTAAATAAGTTCAGGGAATACAGTGATAGAAAAACGCCCAAGATATTATGGGAACTCAAAGGAAGTACAGTAAATCTAGAAAGGGACAGTGTCAAGGGAGGTTTTCTGAAGTGGGTATCTGAAAAAGAGGGGTAAGCAGCCGAGAGGGCACTGCTGCTGTTCAAAGACCAGAAGAGGAGCCCAGGAATTACAATTCGCTGAAAACAGGTCTAGGGTTTGCTCCACAGACAAGGCAGGAGCTACAGAGGCTCGGTGTGATTGGCAGAGACCTCGCTCAGGCCTGGCTCTAGCCGCGCTTCTCCTCCATCCCATCCTCTAACCAATGAGCGCGGCATCTCACAGTTCCACTGAGCTGGGAGGGTGTTCCAAGCCCCAAGGTCCGCATCTCCAGCTGGAGTGGGGGGACAGCTGTAGCCTCACCAGTCTCCCAGAATAGTCTGTGTTTCCCTGAGGTCGTCAAATTAGCGTAATCAGCACCAGATGGGGCGGCCCACAAGCAGGAGCTCATTGGTTGCTACAGCGGCGATGTGAGCTGCTGATTGGTCGCAGTCTCTCAACCCGGGCTACGCCCATCTCCTGGTTCTAATCAGGTCAGGAGCCCCACAGCCTCATGGGTAGTGTGGGCGTTCGGCCCCGGGCTAGACCTGGGGATATGGCGTCCGCTATTGATTAGAAGGAACCGAGAGTCGGGCCACATCTTACGGGCGGCAGTTCCCGGGTTCCCTCCTCACACTTTTAGCCGATGGGCCGTGCCAGGTAACCCCAGAACCTGGTTGCGCGCCCTCCAGCGACAAGTGGCTTTGCATCCGGAAATGAAAGGGGGCTGGTGGATTGCGGCTTTTGATTATTGGTTTTTCATGGGGGTTCGTGTCCCTCTCAGGGACCAGGGCCGAGGCTACAGCATGGGAGTCGCGGCCAGGGCAGTGGCTTCTCGTTCGAACCTTTCTCGAGTCCCTGCTCTTCTCCTGCCGCCTGGAGCCTGGGCCCTGACCTTGAGTGGGAAAGTGCTCGCCCTTGAAAAGACAGTTGTAGGTCATTTGGCCCGCGCTTCCTGCATTCCAGTCACCTTCTCCATCTACGCAGAATGCGCCGTTTCTACAACGAATGCGGCGATTCTGCTTGTCTGGAATATTACTCGTAATGAGCATCCAACCCAGCTGTCCCGTTTTCTACTTTACAACTTCTGCTTGCCCTTAGCTAGTATCGCCCTCCTTGGTATAAAGCCTGCCTGTTTCCCTGCACCGTCTCAGGAGTGCGGGTTCCGGAACAGGCAAGCGGGAGTTAGAATGTATGCTACTTAAAATGTTTAACATTTATAAGCCTCGGCTTTTACGTCTCAGAAGGAGACAATACTAGTACTTCATAAAATTTTGCGAGGATTACACATAAAACTTAGAACGTAAAGGCGACTTGGCTGTGACCACTGCGTAGACGGGACATTGCTCTCCGTGTCTGGTTCAGCCCTCTGCAATCGTCTGACAAACCCAATATGGCTGAGATAGAGACATCTGATAAGTCGAAATGGAAAAAGACAAACACAAGAGAAAACTCCACTGCGTTCCAAAGAAACGATCGAACAGGAGAAGCAAGCAGGCGAATCTTAATGTGTGCCGCCTGTATGAGCTGTTTATTCCACAAGCATTGCTTTGTTTTTCTTCTTTTAGCTGTTTAACTTTGTAAAATGCAAAGCGTTTGGATCAAATTTAAATGACTATACTGCCCCTTTCAAATCAAAGAATTGAGAGCTACTTTGCTTGCTTCTCCCATGTGCCGGACTGGCTGGCAGGGAATGAAAAGAACTTGCTTATTGCTGAAGGCAGAAGCCAGGAGCGATGGCAGTGAAATGTAGGGTAACAATCAGGCAGATCCACAGCGTCCTGCAGACTGCAAAATGCAGTTTATAACTAGAGTGCTATATTTTTTTTGTTCAAATTATTTTAATGATAAGACTGCACGACCTTTATTTAAAAAGTTTTAAACTCTAAAAAAAAAATGAAATGCTTAATAAATGTGAACTGTTACTATCTGTGCTTCCTAAATACATCCTAAAGATTTAATAACACTTGCTCTTTGTTGCTACATTATTTTGTTTTGTCTGCACTACTAGACTTTGAGCACCTTAAAAGCTGAAACTATTTGGTTTGTAATCTTAGTGTCCAACATTAATGGACAAATTTAGAACTAAGGTTATTTCTCAATGCTTTTCAAAAACACCCTCTCTTTATCATTCTTCTTTTACTTCACTCTTTTACTTTTAAAGGCGTTTTGAGACAGGAATTTTCCAATCTAGAGAAGTTGACAGCGCTGGGTTGGGGTCAAGATAAGCACTTTTTAAAATTCATTTATTTTTTTGCCTTAACATTCCATGTCCTTCAGCTTGACTATTTGTGACAGATTTCTTCTTTTTGTTATAGGGCGCATGCACTTGCCAGACAGACAGAGACAGAGAGATAGAAAGCAAGAAATCACCCCCCCGCCCCCCAGAGGGGATGGCCACGTTGCAATCCCTTCTCCTCCATTCTCCTCTCGGGATCTTGGGCACACACGCACACGTGCCCGGCATGAGTTTAAGCTACCAGGTCCGGGACTCGAACCGCGGTCGACTTTGTGGGAGTCCAGTGACATAGCCATTACGCTAACTGCTGGTCCCAACAGGTTTCTTCTTGACTAAAGCACCTGACCTTCCTTTTCTTAGAGCACTTTCTTTAGAAAACTTGTAACTGCAGATTCTTTCTCTGAACCTTTGAACCGTATATAAATCTCCTTAGAACTTTATTGCCAGTTTTAGAACCCAGGGACCTGGGAACTATTCCTTTGAAATGAAGTGATCAAGGAAAATAGTGCTTCTGTCTGTTAGTCTTGGTGGGAGAGTGGATGCCTTGTTCCAAACTGTAAAACTACTGTTCATCTCGAAGATGTAGAGTGTTAACTTTTTCTTTGGTCAAGACAGGAAACACAGCTGTTTTGTGATGTAATCAGCTAGCAAACACAGTTGTCCTGTTATACCTTGTACAGTAGCTCTTTTTTTATTTTTTAAATTTTGGTATAAGGTATTTGCATTTTGATGGAAATAATGGGGAGAGTAAGGAGGAAAGGGGAGGAGGGAAGAAAGCACTCTGCAGGGGGAAAGGCCACACCCTAAACCCTTCTGCTCCATTTCTCTCCTTTCAGGATTTTGGACACACAGGCACATGTGCCCAGAGTGTTTTTCAGGCCCCTGGGTACGGGACTCAAACCGAGCAGTTGGCCATGTGGTATCCAGTTGCCTTGCCTTAACCACCATGCCACCAGCTGGTCTAGCAATGGAAATCTTTAGGTTCTGCATTTATCATTTCTTTCTGATTACAATGGTGTCCCATTTCTTTCTCATTAAAAGGAACTTCTCACATTCTTTGATTTCTGAGAATTCAGTTCTGATTCAAAAGAGTAGTTGTGTGGAGTAAGCTACTGCTTTACGCCATGATTGCAAAGGGTAACATACGATATGTGGGATGTGTACATCTATTTGAGGGAATCCCAAATGGGATTATATTAGGAAAGTGGCACTGGAAAATAAAGAACAGGCCCATCCTCCTTCCTTCCCTAGTTAATATGAAAGGAGCATGAGAGAAATGTAATTTTCAAAGGAAAAGAACTGCTGAGAATGTATCTCCTCTCAAAGAATTCTATGTTTGGTTAAGGAGAGAAGCTGTTTGCAGATAGGCTGCTGTAATGGTGGAGGTAGGGTGGAGAGCTACTTCTTAAAAGTACAGGGAATGGGACCAGCAATTAGTGTAATGGCTATGTCGCTGGACTCCAACGTAGTTGACTGCGGTTTGCGTCCCGGACCCGGTGGCTTAAAACTCACGCCGGGCATGTGTGCGTGCATGCCCAAGATCCCAAGAGGAGAATGGAGGAGAAGGGATTGCAGTGTGGCCATCACCCCTGGGGGGTGATTTCTCACTTTCTGTCCCTATGTCTCTCTCTGTCTGTCTGGCGAGCGCATGCGCCCTATAGCGAAAACCTCTCAAAAAAAAAAAATTAAAAAATTTAGAGGAAAAAAGAATCCCAGTAAAGTCTCAGATTTTTTTGAGGAAGGTCCAAGAGAATATAGCATTGGAGGTGAAGTCAGAGAGATGAGCATTAGACATTACAGAGAAATTTCTAGATCTGATTTTAGTATAATTAAAAGGAACACATGAATGCTTTTCCTAGAGCCTTTCAACATTGGAGAGTTACTCACCTGTCTGGGCTGGACAGAGGTAATCTCCTTCCTCCTTATGGGAAGATAGCTTCCTCTCCAAGAGACTTTTTTTTTTTTTTTTTTTTGAGAGGTCTTTGCTCTAGGGCTCATGTACTTGCCAGAAAGACAAAGACAGAAAGCAAGAAATCACCCCCCATGGGGGATGGCCATGCCACAATCCTTTTCTCCTCCATTCTCCTCTTGGGATCTTGGGCATACTCATACACATGCCTGGTGTGAGTTTAAGCCATCAGGTCCGGGACTCAAACCACGGTCAGCTACATGCAAGTCCAGCAACACAGTTATTACGCCAACTCTGGTCCCCCAAGAAACTTTCTGCTATACAGACTCTGCCTGGGCCTGGCTGGTTCTCCAAAGGGCCCTCACCATGGCTCCCTTCATTTCCTTGTTACGGAAACTGTAGATGATGGGGTTACACATGGGGGTGATGATGGTGTAGAGGAGGGAGAAAGGCTTGTCTTTGTCAGGTCCATGTGTGCTGCGGGGATTCATGTAAGAGAACATGGCCGAGGAGTAGAAAAAGACAACCACAGTCAGGTGGGAGGCACAAGTAGAGAAAGTCTTCCCCCGACCTGAGGAGGAGGCTCTGCCAAGGATGGAGGCCAAGATGCGAGCATAAGAAGTCACGATGAGCACCATGGGACTGAGCAGCACCACGATGGCATCAGCAAAGATCACCGTCATGCTGAACTGCGGGTCCCCACAGGAGAGAGCGATCACTATGGGGGCCTCACAGAAAAAGTTTTCTATGCGGTTATCTTTGCAGAAGGGGTTCCGGAATGACATATACTCAAGCAGGATGCCATCGATCAACCCAAAGAACCAAGCTGCACCCACTAGCCTGACACAGACCTGCCGGCTCATGATCTGGGCATAGCTAAGTGGGTGACAAATAGCTACATAACGGTCATAGGCCATAAAAGCCAACAGGATACACTCAGCCACACCTACACTGAAGACCAAGTACGTCTGGGTCACACAAGACACAAAGGAGACAGTGTGGTTCTTGACCACCAGGTGGATCAACATCTGTGGGATGGTGGTGGTGATGAAGCAGACATCCAGGAAAGACAGGTGGCCCAGGAAGAAGTACATGGGGCTGTTGAGCCTGGGGTCTGTCCAGGTGATGAAGATGATGAGGCCATTCATGGCCATGGCAAGGCTGTAGAAGGATAGGAAGATGGCAAAGAGCAGTGCCCGAGTGGAAGGGGAACTCTGCTCAAAGCCCACGAGGATAAACTCTGTCACTGTGCTGCTGTTCCTCGGGTCCACTGCCTGGGGTCTGCTTGAGGAAGGATAAAAAAAGCACAATGGAGACAGCTTTAAGATAACGCATAGAAGGTACTGAGTTGGGCTCAGAAGCCCAACTGTATAAAATGGGATAGACGAGCAATGGTACACATTCTGGAACTTAGTGAACTCCAGGAAGTTGGCAGTGTTTAGAGTGATGAATATGCTAGTGTCACTATAGCTATAAATATGGGACCATAATACCAAAAATTGTGGGGGTAAAAGTTATAGTTATGTGTCATTTAATGACATGGATATATTAATAGAAATTTCTGGTTGGGTGATTAAGTCATTGTGTAAATGCCACGGAATGTCCTTATAGAAGCCTAGATAGTATAGTCTGGTGTCCACTTAGACTATTTGCTCCTAGGCTACAATCCTGCACAGCATGTTACTTTACGGAATATCATAGGTAACTGTAACTCAATGGCAAGTGTCTGTCTATCTCAATGTAGAAAAGGTACAGTAAAAATATAGTATAAAAGATTAAAAATGTTACATCTGTATAAGGTACTCACCAGGAATTCAACTTGTAGGGCTAGAGGTTTCTCTGGGTGAGTGAGGGAAAATGAATATGAAAGCCTAGGATATTACCCCTGTACGCTGCTGTAGAATACACTTAGGCTGCACCAGATTTGTGAAAATACTTTTCTTCATTTAATAATCAGTTAACCTTCACTTACTATGACATTTTTTTCTTTATAATTTTTTTTTAATTTTAAAAAGCGTCTTACTCTTTTGTAATACCACTTAGATTAAAACACAAATGCATTGTATACCTGTACAAAAACATTTTCTTTCTTTGCATCCTTGTTCTATATATTTTTTTCTATTTGAATTGTTCATTTTTAATTTCAGCTTTCATTTTTAAACTTTTTTTGTTAAAATTTAAGACATATACAAAATGGTCTAGGCCTACACAAGGTCAGAATCATCAATGCCACTGCCTTCTTCCTCCACATTTTCCTAGGGAAGGTCCTTAGGGGCAAAACATGCATGAAACTGTCACCTTCTGTAATAATGATGCCTTTGTCTGGAATAAGTCCTTGAGGACTCGTGGGAGGCTCTTCTTGAGGATGTTTCACTGTATTGAGAAATACGACCATGGTGGTTTGCTTGATTTGTCTTTTAATTTTTCTCAGGATAAGTTTGCTTGTAAGCACATGGTGTACCATGAACACGTCTATTAATGAAAACAGTTCAGGGTTAAGGTCTGCGTTCTCAAGCTACTGCTTGTTGAGGACCACAAAAACTTCTGCTAATTCACTGTGAATTTTCTCAAGAGTTCTTTTTCTTCTCCTGTAGTTTCTTATGCCTTGCCTTTTCTCTAGCTATGTGTTCCTGTTCCTGGTTTGACAACTCCTCGTTGGTCAGGTTGGGAAGCTGCACACCAGCGAGTCTGCCGAGGTTTCTCAGAGAGCAAACAATTACCATGATTGGGTCCCTTCCAAAAACCTGACCTTCGAAACCTTGCTCTGATTGGCCACTAGAATCCCTCAAATTTGCATATCTGGCACCTCATGATTGGTCCAAAAGCAACCAATCATAACCCACCGTTAGCAACCAATCAGGGTCCACCGTTTACAACCAATCACGGCCCACCATTTACAACCCACCAGAGTGTATATAACCACGATGCCTGGCCCACAGTAGCCAGACGACAACAACGACGACCAGGAAGACGACAACTGAAGAGCCTGAAGAGCTGAAACACCGCGCAGTCTCCAGATGACCCTGAAGATCCTGAAGAGCTGACACTGCATCGTCTCCAGACGACTTGGGAGACCCTGAAGAGTTGTAACACTACATCGTCTCTGGATGACCCTGAAGAGTTGTGACACCGCGTCGTCTCCGTGCTGCTCACAGTAGACGACGCGACACTGCGTTGTCTCTGTGCTGTACCGTGCTGCCCACAATAAACGGACGACACTGTCATCTCCGTGCTGTAACACTACGCCGCT